GGAGAGGGGGTCCAGCAAAGCCGCTGGCCCCCCCCAGTAGACCAGGGACACCCGAGCAATGCCGCCGCCTGGGCGACTTTGCTCATAAAGCCGCCCAGGCGGCGGCTTTGCTCAGGTGTCCCTGGTCTGCTGGGGGGGTCCAGCGCCTTTGCTGGACCCCCCCAGCAGACCAGGGAGACCGGGAGAAGCTTTTCTCGCCCCTGAGGACACGGGCAGCGACCCGCCGCCCGTGAGCTCCGGGGCGAGAAAAGCCCCGTTCATAAGTGCGGATCCGACGTAAGTCGGGGACTGCCTGTAAATGGTTGGCATCTGACCTCTTCTAAGAATACCTGATATTTGTGACATCCCTGCTCTCCAGTTACCAGAAAACCGGTAAAACACTGGCTACTAACACAAGGGTAGGCAATAATTTTTTTGCTGGGGGCCACTTCAAAAATGTTTGAAGTGGCCCCAAGCCATACCAGATGGGGCGGGGCCTCACGCAGAAGGGTTGGGGCCAGGATGCTTCCAGGCTTCACCACCCACAGACCATGATTGGTCTGGGGTGGGAGAGCCCCTTTGCCCCTCCTTTCACATTAAGCACCCATCCCCCTGGCAGTGGGAAGGAGACTTCCCGTGCTCCACTCGTCCCTCCCCCACCCCCCCCGCCCAATCAGGGCCTCAGGGAGGGGGAGCACATAAAGCCTCCTCCTGTCCTGCCAGGAGCGTGCAGTACTTCTAAGGGCCGCGCGCTCCTCGCAGGGCAGAGGAAACTTCATGCGCCTTCCCGCACCCAGGCCAATCAGTGTTTGGGACTGGGGGAGCATGTGAAGTCTCTTCCTGCCCTGCCAGGAGCACATGGTGCTTCAAAGCGCCATGTGCTGCTGGCAGGGTGGAGGAAACTTTGTGTGATTTCCCCTGCCCCCATACCCTAATTAGCCAGGGGTGGGGGAGCAGCAGGGCCTCCGTGGGCTGGATCAACCCACTTGGCAGGCCGAATCTGGCCTAAGGAGGCCCTTTTGCCCATCCCTGACCTAACACTTCCATCTAGCAGCTCATGTGTTGCTATGGAGCAGACACCACAGTAGATAGTGGCCACTACACTTTAATGCAGGAGCGAGGAACCTACGGCCCATGGGCCGGATCTAGCTCCGTCTTATTTGGATCGGGCCTGTGGTGAGACTTAGAACTTCCCCGCACAGTGGGAAGAGAAGGTGCTCATGCCTGAGCCCTGTAGCAGGTGTCCCCAAGCCTTAGTGCTCCCTTGCAGGACTGGAGCAGCAGCGGGAGGCGGGGTGGGTGGGTGGGTTGGTGTGTGTGTGTGGGTGTGTGTTACACCAGTTATCTGACCAGTAGGGGGAGCCATTTATTTCTGATTTTTCTGTGATTTGTTGCCCCCCCGCAACTGAAAAATGTTCCTACCTCTGCTTTAGTGGCTTTTGTTCACTTTAACAAAATTAGATTTTTTTTCTTCCATAGCCAGTGTTTACAGCAGGGATATTACAATTTTGTGTATTCAAGTAAATGTGTAACCACTGAATTTTTTAGCAGTTATATGTTTACATGCCGGGGGGGGGAGGGAAGCATGAGTTTCCACCTCCCCGTATGCAGAGGCAGCAGCGCAGGGAGGGCAGCCAGGCACCCCTGCGAGAGCTCCAGAGAGTTTGTAAATAAGGAATGAAGATGCAGAAGGGGTTAGTCATGATGGAAAGAGAGACACTGGCTGAAGGAGCTGTCAGAACTAAGAGCTATCAAGGAAGATAGCACTGAGAGTTCACACTACCTATTATGACAGTGTTTTTCATCCATAGTAGCACACAGTTTATTAATCTTCCACTAAAACTTTACTCCTATACATTTCAGGAAGTAATGCCAGTCAATTATAGCCTTTCACTCAGAGCATTTCTGCATGTGAACACAAGTTGCTTCTCAATTAGCTGAGGGTCATTACAACCAATGGCTCTCTGTAACATAGTCAAGAGAGAAAGGCAGAAAGTCCTGGAAGGAGAAATCCTAGTCAACCTGCTCAGGAAAAAGCTTAAGTTTAAAAGGATAGTCCTGTCTTAGGTCTTTCTTAATTAAATAAAGGCAAACCAGTAGGGCAATATCTGTTCTGCGGTTAGGAGCTGGATGGAGATACCACCCATATAGATTTCTCCACAGCAAAAATGCGAGGGCTCTTCAGATAGATATGGAGAACAAATAGTATCAAACAGCAATAGACATTGATATTTTATGGCACCAATTATTGGTTTTAAACAAAACCATGATAATATTTGAGCTATGTTATATTCAGATGCTTACCATTCATGTACTTGGTTGCTGAATACATACAAATATCTGCCCCGAGAGACAAAGGACGCTAGAATAGAATACAAACAGAAGATCTGATTTAACATTTTTTCACCATTTTCAATCAAATTACTCACCTCATCCCAGAGAAAAGCAGGAATTTGGTGAGCCAAAGCAGAAGACCCAGGTGCTAGACACTAGCTGGGAGTTTCAAAAGCACTGTGTAACACAGACTACTAGAAATCCTACTCTAGTTTTTAAAATTTATTTTATTTACATGTATTGTAACCCCTTCAACATTCTTACAGCCAAATCAATGTTAACTGCACATACAAAATAACTTCCCCTGCCAATCAAAACCCTGAGCTTCTTCAAAGAAAGCCCAGGTAATCAAGCCAATTTCTTCATTCCTTTTTTTTAATATCAGTGTCTTCATTTTCTTTCACCTCCACTACACTGCCTCAGGAAAGTTGAAACATTTAGAGCAAGAGCAGCTGACAAAGAATTCTTCACATCTGATTAAGCTTTCCAATTGCTCTTCTGAGGAAAGAACAATTGAAAATGACAATGCCTTCTCTAACAATGACCTGATTTTACATCAGTCACTAAATTAGAGACTGCAAATTACTACTCTTTAACCCTTATTCTGTTTTTGTTCAGAGTGTTAAAAGGTAAATGTAGTTGTTCGATTTCAGAACAAAAGAAGGTAGAAAATCTTGCAGTCAGACTATATGCAGATGTTTGTATGGACTTGCTGTCATCTCTCAATAGTGGAATAGTTATGAATGCACTAGTGCTTTCTTCTATATGCAACATATAGAAGTAGTAATTTCATGGAGATAGACACTTGAAGGTTGCTACTGGTACACTATAATAAGAGGATAACTAATACGTTACCTTTTAATGCTTGTCAGACAATTCTACAGAGTTAATCACTGAAATTTTTACTTTTTAACTTAAATGTATTCCTTACTGCATGTTTTTCTACGGCACACACAGAAAAACAGGAAAGCTTTCTGTGGCCAAAATAATAAGCTCCTAATTACCATAAATAATAACTAAAGACTGTGTAGATCAGAGGCTAAAATTGTTTTTTATATTTCCAACATACTGAGTTTATAGTATTAAAATATTTTTGTCACATCTCCAAATCATATGAGATTACTGATTTACATTTTGTTAAAGAAAACAGTCAAAAACCCCAACAAGCTAGAAGGCCCAAAAAAGGTGTCCTAGGTTAATTTAAAAAAGACATAAACAAGACAGAGGAGTTCATCCATATAAAGAGGAGTTAATTATAAATTTCAACCAAATCCATTTAAAAAGGCCATGTTAAGTCACAATTAGGACTCCAACCATTTATAAAAAACAAAACACATGAGAACTTTGTATTGGAGAGAATGTAAAAATTAGCTCGCTGCTGTGCTAGTGCCTTAGATAACTGTTTTGAGTTAGTGTGATCATTAACTAATCAGCCTTTCTGTTTTAATACATCTCATCTATTTACATGGCTAGCCGATTCTTTTTCCAATTCATTTTCTTTAAATGGTATAAATTGCTTTGGATCAAATCTGTATTAGTTCAGGAGCCAATTGTGCATTCACTTTTCAATAACATGAAAGCTTTAAAACAAACGAAAGGCCAAAAGCACACAGTTTTTCATTGGTCATCCCAAATAAATATATCACTGTATACCAACCTAGACATTATTTCAGATACCCAATCAGCTTACCTGGAAATACGCTGACATAAAGGTATTATCTACTACTAAAATAATGTCTTTATGTTTATGGACAATATCTGCACAGCCTTGAATATCAATGACCTTCAGGGTGGGATTTGTGGGAGTTTCAAGCCAAACAAGCTGCAATTTTTCAACAACAAAAAAATATTAGTTTTAGATACATTATGTTAACTTACAGGTACCATCACCTCTAACTTTCTGTTTCAACGGACACTTCTTCCTTTTCTTCTTTTGCATATACAGCCGCTTCCCAAGTTACAGACCAACGCTTGGTCCATAACTCGAAGTGTTCGTAACTCGGGTCCCATAGAGTTACATGGCAACCGTTCATAACTCAGATCCGCATTTATGACCGCTTTGTTCGTAAGTGCGGATGGTCGTAAATGGAGGTGGTTGTAACTCGAGAAGCGGCTGTATTCTGCAGAGAGCACCATACTAACAGCCTCACATCTGGGACCCATACTATGGATCTCACTCGTACACATGCATACTCCCTTTTTAGAATTTCTTTATCAATAGCTTTACCAATATAATAGTGATTTTTTTCTTTGTTTTAAGAAAAGCTCTTAGTCATTAGCTATGTTTAATATTAGTTTGTCAAATTCCATGTTTCAATCCAACTGTGAAAAGCATAATTAACAAATATGCACATGAAAAACAGCCATTAACTGAGTCAACAGCAAACCCTTCCCTCCTCAACCCAGAAGCCCTTTACAACATTCACCTGTAAACAAACCTTTACTAGCCCAGTAAAAATTGTCCCCCTCTGCCTGACACCTGAAATGTACTGAATTTGCCACCCAAATGCTGTCTCATACAAGTATCACAACAAAAAACTTCAGAACGTTAAATAAATTTAAGATTTCTGAAGTTATGTTTTCTGCTACAAATACCTGTCCTAAAATTGGCTACACTCCTCTAGGGAAAAAACAGCATTTGTAAAGGAACAGAAGAAAATCATTCAAGACACATTGCAAATAGAATTCAGGGGTATTTTTCCATTACCTTGGTCTCTGGTGTGATTGCAGCCTCCAGGCATTCCATTTTGCTACAGTCAACAAAAGTAAACTTCAAACCCATTTGAGAGGCTATCTTTCTGAAATATCTGTTTGTACCTAAAACAGGAGGAACACTGTATTATGAAAGTTATGCTTCTGCTTTACACTTATTTTACAAGAAGGAAGAAATTGTCCATGAGCACTAGTGCACATTCATTTTCATTTTATGAGTAAGAAGGGCTTGGGAGGGTGGGTGGAAGACAAAGGCAGGATGTACATCTTAATGAAAAAATTAGACTAATAATAATTCTGTATTCTTTAAAATATGCTTCAATTCCCCTCCTGTATTCAATTCCCCTTTTCTCTAGACTTGCCATCTGATAGATAAAAACTTGTAGAAAACAGTTAACATTAAATTCCAATGCCAGCCAAGTACCTATCTATTAAAGATCCTGATTATATGGTAACTTATGAAAATTATGTGTTGACCTTCAACTGATGAGCCATGCAGAGTGGAAGAAACTGTAGGAGACAGTGCTAGAAATAACACAAGACCATAAGAATGGCCATACTGGATCAGACCAAAGGTCCACGCAGCCCAATATTCTGTCTGCTGACAGTGGCCGATGTCAGATACTCCAGAGAGAAGGAACAAAACAGGTAATCATCATGTGATCCCTCTCCTGTCATCCATTTCCAGACAAACGGAGGTTAAGGACACCATTCCTACCCATCCTGGCTAATAGCCATTTATGGACCTAACTTCCATGAATGTATCTAGCTCTTTTTTGAACCCTGTTAAACTCCTAGTCTTCACCACATCCTATGGCAAGGAGTTCCACATGTTGGCTGTCCACTGCATGAAGAAAAACTTCCTTTTGTTTGTTTTAAATCGGCAACCTATTAATTTCATTTGGTGATCCATAGTTCTTATATTATGGGAATAAGTTAATAACATTTCCTTATTCACTTTTTCCACACCAATTATGACTTTATCGATCTCTATCATATCCCCCCTTTAGTCTCCTCTTTTCTGAGCTGAAAAGTCCAAGTCTTTTTAATTTCTCTTCATATGGGATCCATTCCAAACCCCTAGTCCTTTTTGTTGACCTTCTCTGAACCTTTTCCAAAGCCAATATATCTTTTTGGAGATGAGGTGACCACATCTGTACACAGTATTCAAGATGTGGGCATACCCTGGTTTTATATTGAGGCAGTAAGATATTCTCTGTCTTATTTTCTGTCCCTTTTTTAATGGTTCCTAACATTGTATTTGCTTTTTAAACTACCACTGCACATTGAGTGGATGTGTTCAGAGAACTATCCTCATGACTCCAAGATCTCTCTTGAGTAGTTGTAGCTAAATTAGTCACTATCATATTGTATGTATAGTTGAGATTATTTTTTCCAATGTGTATTACTTTACATTTATCAATATTAAATTTCAATTGCCATTTTGCTTAGTTTTGTGAGGTTCTTTTGAAGCTCTTCAGAGTCTGCTTTGGTCTTATCTATCTTAAGCAATATAGTATCATCTGCAAATTTTGCCACCTCACTGTTTACCCCTTTCTCCAGATCCTTTTATAAATAAGTCGAATAGGACTGATCCCAGGACAGACCCTTGGGGGACACTATTAGTTACCGCTCTCCTTTCTGAAAACTTACCATTTATTCCTATCCTTTGTTTCCTGTCTTTTAACCAGTTATTAATCTATGAGAGGACCTTCCCTCTTATCCCATGACAACTTACTTTACTTACGAGCCTTTGGTGAGGGACCTTGTCAAAGGCTTTCTGGAAACCTAAGTATACTATATCAGCTGGATTCTCCTTGTCCACATGTTTGTTGACCCCCTCAAAGAACTCTAGTAGATTAGTAAGGCATAATTTCCCTTTACAGAAACCATGTTGACTTTCCCCCAACCAATTATGTTAATCTATGTGTCTGGCAACTATTAGGTAAGAAAACTTTCCAGTCTGTAACCCACTGTCTGCCATAATTCTGCTATGCATGTGAAACAGTGAGCAGTGAACAGGATCAGAAAGGGATAACAGAACAAACACAAAGGCAACAAAAAAGTCCTCTTTCCTTTTACAAGATTACTCAAACAGCATGGTTATTGCTAGATCTCCACCTTTAAGACCATCCTGCCAAATGAACTCTCTTACCGCAGAAGACGGGTAAGTCCACCTAATAGCATATGATAAATGCTCTAGTTGACCATATTGCTGCTTTGCTGATTTATCTGGTGGAAGCATATACCCTCTTTGCCCATGAAATTGCCATAGATATTGTGGAGAGATCATGGATTCCTTCTGGTACAGGATTGTTGACTGCACTGTATGCCTCAACAATACTTAGTCTGATTTGTCTAGCAAATGAGGGCTTGAAGACTCTGAGTTCTAGAGTTTGCCTAGAAAAAGACGAACAAGGTGCCTGACCTACTCATGAGCACCATATGTTTGATGTAAATCGTTTGTCCTCTTCTATCAATCAAAGTGTGTCATAGCATCTCAGCTAGGTGCTATGGCTTTGGACAAAATGAAGAGAGTCATTCTTTATGAGACATTAAAAAGAAAATTCACCTTTGGCAAGAAAGTTTCTGGAGTCCTTGGCACCACCTTGCCAATGTGAAACATAAGTATGGTTTCAACATAGATAGGGCTGCCAGTTCTGAAAATCACAGGACATATAAGATGGCCACAGAAAACAGGTTTTGATAGAGAAGTAATATGGTGAGACAGAAGTCAGGAGTTCAAAAGGATGAGTGATTAGGACTTTCAACACCAGCGGTGGATCCCATTTAGCAAAGGTCAGTCTGACTGCTCTGAGAAGCTTGGAATCATGAAGGTTCTTGACCAGGGAGCCTGAAGATTCTGTGAACAGAGGACTGATTCCTGAAGATTTAGAAGGCAGTATTTGCTCTGAAACACATCTTCATGGACCTACATAGGTTGGATCTGTATAGACACCACTTTTTGCACACGGCTTCAAACTTCTCAGAGGCTGGGGACAACCTTTGTTACATTTTATCCATGTCTGCTCAGAAACGAAGTCTAGTAGTTCATTTTCCTTAGCAGAGAAGGAAGACAAAATACTTTGGGGGGCTTTTACTTAACCTTTTTGTTCTTTACTTTTTCAGGGGTGTGTGTGCATGTTTTGCAGACCTGATCATTCACCTATGAGCTATTCTGCATCTTTTTCCAGCTAGCCTTGCATAAGACCTAGACCAACTTCTCCCTTGGAGTCTTCCCACATAGACTCTGACTCCCCCATGTTGGGAGTTGAGGACTCACTGCCAGAGCATCCTGACTCAAGCTGGAATGGAGAGGGCTGATTGTGATCCCAGATTCTTTCCCCAGGGTACTTAGGACCCATTTCAGGGGGAGTGGTGAGGAATGGGAGCCTTGCTACAGACTTAGGGTATGTCTACACTACCCTCCTAGTTCGAACTAAGAGGGTAATGTAGGCATACCGCACTTGCAAATGAAGCCCGGGATTTAAGTAATGGGAGACCACCAGGGCTACAGTCTCAGATGGATTTCTTAAGTGTTTTTTAATTTTGTAATATTACATTGTTCTCTCCTATTGGAAGATGCAAGTCAGGACTGAAAGTAAATCTTGTTGCTGGTCTCAAAATGCACACCAATTGTGGTTTTCACCTTGAGAATGAAGAGAGGCATCATCTGCTGGTTTCTGGTAATGGAGAAGTACATTTCACCATTTCCTCTGTAAATTCAAGTCAGCAGCACTGTTTCATGTACTGGGCAGCCAGGTAAATCTACATGATTTAGAAAAAAACTAATTTTTTTTTTTTTTTTTTTTTTACTGCAAGGAACTGCTTTGTGGGTAATAGAGGACAAGGTTCTAAATTCCTGCAAACAAACTGTACAGCTCTTGCTCAAGAAATCATCTTCTAATAAATATTGCCAAGGGTTAGCCTTTCTCTACTCTATCCTTTACTGAAGAGGTTGCTCATTAACTCTGGTGGCATCTGGACTTGTCTGCTTTCTTTCAATCTGATTTAAAACCTGGTTATGATATGGAGGCTATATTAGCTGTACTGATTATCTCCTTGTTGTGAAGAATGCAAGTCCTTTGTTGACCACACTGATTATTCTAGCTCTCTCTGCAGGCTATGAAATAGGAACCTGGAGGCTGTAATGAGTTTTTTGCAAACTCTGGCAGAAGTGGACAAGGTCATACTTCTATTAAAAATTCTTTCTTCCACAAGTTCCCAGAAGAAAATGAGCAATACCTTCTCTATCACTTGGAGGCTCAATAAGGAAATGTCACTCCTCCCCATGGAAGGCTCCACAATAATGTCACCCTCCTGTTCACATCTGTGAGACCAATAGAGAAGATTCCAAAACAGCAGGGCTGCGATTATTATAAATATATGGAGAACTCACAGCTCTAACAGACAAGACTTTCACCGTGCTTGGTAAATATAATACCTTGGAATGAGAGTTGTCTGAAATTCACTCCAGACAAGATTGAGGTGATGCTGTTGTGTAAAACTGGTAATCTATAAGAAATTATACAGATGCTTTGGTCTGTTTTTTTGGACCACTGGAAATCTGGAGCCATTTTTTGATCTTCAGTAGCTACTGAATTCCTAGGTAGAATCAATTTTTATCCGTGCACAATTATGAGGTTATGCATTTTCCTCTCAAAAGAAGACATTACTAGTTATCTATACCTTTTGAATTTGCCCTCTTAAACAAGTCAACAATTCACATCCCTGCCTTTGGCCAACGAAGTCACAAAGGAACAGTCTGTTATTACAGAAGGCGTCTCATTGCATGAAGTAGTCCTTCCATTGAAAAAGTAAGATAATAGATATACAATTCAAACAATAACTGAGTGAACATCTTATATGCTTAGTAATAGATGAGCAATGTAATATGTTTGAGGTATACAGCTAATACCATTAAGACATAACATATTGGTGCTCACTTACCTCCATAAACATCATCCACACAGACAACAGCATCTCCCACCTTTAATAAGTGTGCAATATTCAATGTAGCAGCTAAGCCCGAAGAATAAGCTAAACCTAAAACAGAAAAAAGAACCAGTGGCAGAGAACAAAGACACATTCATATTTTATAGAGCATTGTCTTTACACCATGTTAAGAATATAAAATGTCTGCCTTTCACCCCTTTTTCTATTTAGTGTCAATGTTTTATACAGGGCCAGATTCTGCCACTCTTATTTATACTGAATAGTACATTACTGCATGAACTGTTGCACTGAAATTAACAGGACCACATGATATAAGATGCTACTCACTGAGGGTAAGTCTAGACTACATGGCTCTGTCGATGGAGCCATGTAAACTAGTTTACTTGACATAGTCAATGAAGCGGGGATTTAAATAATCTCCGCTTCATTAAAATAAAAATGGCCGCCGCACTGTGCTGACAATCAGCTGATCCAGCACAATGCAGCAGTCAAGACGAGGACCAGTCGACAAGGGAAGCCTGAGTCGACCTCTTCCTTATGCTTCATGAATCGAGGTTTAGAGGAGTGGTTGACAAAGGCTTCCTTTGTCGACCAATCCACATCTTGACTGCTGCGCTCTGCCAGATCAACTGATTGACGGCACAGTGCGGCGGCCATTTTTATTTTAATGAAGCGGAGATTATTTAAATCCCCGCTTCATTGACTATGTCAAGTAAACTAGTTTACATGGCTCCATCGACGGAGCCATGTAGTCTAGACATACCCCGAGAGTAGTTGTGATAGAAACTAACTCTAAATTACTGGTGTGGAATCAAAGTTGTTCTACTGACTTTAATGAATTTGACCCATAGCATTAGAGTCCATACTGTACAGGGTCTTTTGCATTTTGCTGTAGTCAACACAATTTTAAATACAACAATAAACAGATAATTCACGCCAGCAGAGTGGAGTTAGTACATAAAGATCAAAAGCATAAGTGCTGTTGATTGTTTGTTTGGGTGGGGTTTTTTTGGTTAAAAATACATTTTAAGAAAAAAAGATCAGACTAGTGAAGTAGCTTCCACTTGAAGTAAATGCTGACAGCAAAAGCTGAGTTAAATGATTTACTCTTAGTGGTCAAACTCCAGTGCTCCCGCTCTGTTGGATACTTTTCACTGGAGTCCACTCTGAAGACACACATGCTGACACAATTCTTAATGAAAATGCTGAGAGCTTACAATATTTGGCTCCATCCAGTGCTGCTACAGCCTTTTCCAGGCAATTCCGAGTAGGATTTCCACTACGGCTATATTCAAAACCCTGTGATGATAAGATACAAAAATAGCATTGAGGATTTTAGAGGAGGTGCTATACCATAGTATAGTTAAACTTACTGACAATCGCTTATCTTAAAATTTGGTAAAATCCTAGACCATCCAAGAAATCCATATTCCTAACACAGTTATATATACAAAAAATGGCCATCTGCTTTCACAAGCTATTGTATACCACCCACAGAGATCCAACACCTGCTGCTTGTCAGAACAGGAGGCAATCTGTTGCAGTTAAACTAAACACTTTCAGAAGATCTAGTAAATCATTTATCTGAGACATACTAATTTGGCTAGTAAAGTTTTAATATGTTTTGTTGTATTTTGCTGATAAGTAGTCTCACGCTGAAATACTACTTTTACTAAAAAGGGCTTCTATAGTTCAAGTCTAAGGGTACATCTACACTACATGGCTCCATCGATGGAGCCATGTAGTGTAGATGTACCCTTAGATTGTCATTGCATAGCCTCTACCTCAGGGCTGGGCAAAATACGGCCTGGGGGCCAGATTCGGCCTGTGAAGCCACCAGATCTGGCCCATGGACCATGCTGCCAGGACCCTCAGGCACACAGCTGCCACAGGTTTAAAGTGCAGTCCAGTGGCTCTTTGCTCTGGGATGAGGCATACCTGGGAGGTCGACAAATGCCTTTGATGTCGACCGCGGAACGTCCAGACTACCGTGCTGGGCTGACAAACAGTTGATCGGCTCAGCGCGGCAGCCGTGTAAATTTAAATGAAGCGGCGATTATTTAAATCGCCGCTTCATTTCCCTTTGCCCAATAAACAAATCTACATGGCTCCGTCAACGGAGCCTGGCAGTGTAGACGTACCCTCAGTTTTTACATTTATTCCCCCATTTTTGGAATGATGGTTAGACCTTCAGATGTGTAAGGATTTCATGTAGTTATGCCAATTTACATCAATGGAGAATCCTGTATGTTTAAATCATATGTAACTTTTAAAATGCAGGGGTTAACATGGGAAATCTGGATGCAATGTATGCTTATTAAAGTACAGGCTGTATTATAATGAAAATAAAACTTTACAATAAAATAATTTGCTGCTGCCATTTAAAAAACTTAGTTTTTGGCACCAGCTGGTTTTAATCTTCTTACTCTTGCAATAATGGGCATTCATAATGGGACATAATAATCTTGCTGCCCAAAGGGTCCAGTTGAGCTCAATGGGAAGCAATTGATATTTCAAGATCAGGTTCAAATATTGTGCAATGGGGTCTTAATCCTGAATCAGGGCCTGTATCCTGTTCCACAATTCTGGAATCCAGTGCTGCCTCAAAATTTCAGTAGTGCATGACTGTCACACAAGTGATGCCAAAACACGTAATTGGTAGTCACATTAGAGGCATCAGAACAAATGTTTACTTATCTGCAGTAACAAACTGAAATGAATCCAAAACTCCAGGGCCCTAATCAAAGTGAAAGGTGATCTTTCCTTTTCACACACATGCACACCATGCACACACTCCTGCCAGCTGCAAAGCAGGTGCTGCAGAAGCCTGTCAGTAGACTTGAAAGCAATCATGTCAGTTTGAAAAAATATGATTCTCGGAAGGACAAGTAAATTCCAACTAGCATGTTGGGAAGAGCTTCACTGGTGCAGTGAGCCCCAGCATCCCTCCAAGGGGCATTGGCGCTCTGTCTAAAGAAACTCAACAAGGAAAAAAAAGGGGGGGGGGTGGTAAAAAAAATCTGTCTGTCTCTACTTTCAAAAATCCCTCTGTAAACATATTCTTCAACATGTGCTGGATTCAGATACAAGCTCATAGAAGAAAAGAAGTTAGCTTTGAACTTGCAGTAAGAATATGATTCAGAATGTTGGGTAAAAGGTATATTCTATTCACTGTCCTGTATTTCTGTTCTCCAATTGACTGTAAAAAGCTTGTGATTATTTGTTATTTTAACTCATACTTTGCAAATAATTATTGGACCGTTGCTCATTCACAAGTATTGGACATTTAAATGCAAGTTCTGTCAGGAGGACTGTGAGAGGACACACTGATCACTAGGTATGTTTCCATCCCTCAGTTAGATACAGGTAATGCTTAGAAGTGAGGTAATTAAAGCTAGCTAGTGAAAAAGCATCCACTTCATGAGCTGTATTAGGCAATGAGATAGTTACTCACAACAGCACTTTAGGGAATCTACTCACAGCAGCACTTTAGGAAATCTACATCTACTTAAACAGAGTGGATGATTGACGAAGGCACAAAAAGGAGTTAGGCACTTGATTTCAACTAAAACTAATGCTGAGGGTGCCCCCATCAGAGTGGGTACTCCTACTCCTCGCAAGGAGTAAGGGAAGTTAATGGGAGTGCTTCTCCTATCAAGGCCGAAGCTCAGCTTAAGATATGACAACTCAAGCTATATATTTTACATAGTTGGAAGTGCGTACCTTAAACCAGCCTTCCCCTATACCATGGACCTGGCTGGACTGCTTTTTCAGATTATGGGGAAACCTATACTTTCTTTCGGGCTATAGTACAACCCCTTCTGTACTGTATTACTACACTCAGTGGCTACCCTAGCATAATTTTGTAGTTTATGGAGTATATTGGTTTTTTGCTGCTGTTTTGCTCTGCACTGCAGTATGATCACTTTTTTTAGTAGTAGTATTAAAATTAAGAAACTGTAAGGACCATATATCCATATGCCTACAAACTATCAACGAACTTTTTCTATTACTTGTCCACGTTCAGCTACTTGAGAGAGAAATTAGGGTTCCAAGTTGACTAGTTTTGAAGGAAAACAAACTGGCTTACTCTTGACTCCTGATACAGTTCTTCACTAAAGAAGCAGAAACACTGGAGGGAATTATGTTTATCTCCAAGCCTGTTTTGCCTGTTTACTTAGGGCTCCTCTACACAGGAGGAAAGTCCAAAGTAGCTGTTGAGCATTAGCTGTTCTGCACTGAAACTGGCCCCTCTCCATATGGATATCCTTACTGGCACTAAGTGTGTCCTTGTGCACATTAATAAACTTCTATACTGAATTAATTTAAATTAAACTATCTGAGGTTGTGCTTAGTGCACAGTAAGGATATTCACACAGAGAGAGGGGGTAAGATTTTGAAGTGCACTACCTACTCTATGCTGACTCACTGACGCTGCTAGATTGCTGTGAATTAAATGGTTAGTCAACTTTATAAAGCATTATAAACATTGATTTTTTAAATGCATAACATGTCTCTATTCTGAGCATTTTAATTATTGATATGCTACTTTGGACAGATACCTATTTGGATGGCTGCCACCTGGTTTATGAAACTTGCAAGCTGTTTTGGAACATTTAAAGGGAAGTGGTGCAGGTTTTTGGTCTATGGTTTCCACTGGACTCTTTAGAGCACCAGTTCTCAAATTGTGTGTCAGGCCCCAAAATAGGTCATGACCCCATGTCAATGGGGTAGCCAGGGCTGGCATTAGACTGGCTGTGTCCTAGGGCCAAAGACTGAGCCCCACCACCTGAGGCCCAAACCTGAGTCTCCCTCCCCTCCCTGCCCCCCATCCCACACACACTTCCATTTCAGCCCTGAGTGGCAGGGCTCAGATTATAGGCCCTCTATGCAGAGAGGAAGCCCTTCAGCTTTGTCTTCCTCCCCAGGCTTGGGCTTCAGCTCCCCCTGCTGGGGTCATGTAGCAATTTTTGCTGTCAGAAGGGGTTTCCATATAATGAAGTTTGAGAACCCCTGCCCTAGAATTAAAAGTTGAGTCCTCCTTTCCCCTCTGGGAGTGAATTCCCTACCACTATGCAAAATAAGTAGCAGCCCCAAATTGCATGATGCCCTAGACAGCTGCATGCTGTGTATGGGGTAACGCCAGCTTCGGCAGCCAGCCCCATCTCCCAACTAGCCATCTACCCCTTCCCCCCCACTTATCCCCACTGCACCCATGCACTGAGCAGGGCTGTCCCTAGGGAGGGAGGGTTGAAGAGTGGAGAAGATGAGTGCCAATGTTCAGGGTCTGTATGGCACTGGAACTACTAGAAACAATCCTGACCTCTGGTCCTTTTTATAACAGAGAGGAGCATTATTTACAGCAATTATATATTTTTTTCATTTTTGATTGAAATTTGGCATACCTGAAACTGCCCTTGTCCAGAGAAAATAAGTTTAACAATTTTGCAAAATAGAAAATTAGTGAGACTTTAAAAATAAACTTGTCAGCTACAAATAGTTTGCAGGCTTACAACCTTTTTACACCCCAAAATTGGATTAAAAAAAATTCTGAAATGGACAGGAACCAAATCGGGTCCCTGGCTATAAATGTACCTGTGTTTACACTTGGGTAATTTGTGTATGGTCAGCACTAGATCAGCAGAGGAGGAAATCTTTCCCCTGACCCATCTAAATTTTCTAACAAGTTGTGAAAGCCTTGGAAACCGGCCTCCTTTCCCGTCCTGTGATCTAAAACAAATATGGTTACCATAGCTGAACTTTCAAAAAAAGGGGGACACTTCCTCTCTGGGGCATCTGTATAAGTATCTACCACCTCACGCTGTATGAGTGTTTTATAAACACGTATGTTACACACACAGGTGTTATATACGCATTAACACAACAGGAGTGCCCTTTTTTGGACGTTCAGATGTGGTAAAACAAAGCATCCCTGACCCTCTCGCTCCGACCCCCACCCCACCCCCGCGCTTTCTGTCTCTCGCTCCCCACGCTTCCCCCCGCTCCGCATCCCCTCCCCCGCAGGAGTCCCCGCTCACGCAGTGCTGTCCGGGCGCCAGCTGCTTGAAGGTGGTGGAGAGGGAGATGGGGGGCACCACGGCCATGGAGCTCCACTGCTCCGGATCCTGCCCCACGTGGATGGCCTGCGTTGCGAAGTGTTCGAAGGGCGGCAGGAAGCCCTGGGACGCGTCCTCCGCCTTGTCCATGGGGAGCCGGCTGCAGAGACCAGGGGACCGAGGAGAGCGGCTGATGCTGGCGGGCGCGGGAACAGGATACGGAGCGGGCGCTGCCGGCTGCAGTAATAGACCGAGTCGTGAAGCCGGGTGCCAGAGAGGCCGCAGTTCCTCCCCGCAGATTGCACAAAGCGGCAGGGGGCGGAGAGCTGGCCGGGAGCCGCCGCCGCCTGGGCCTGCCCCTCATTGGCGCAGGACGGAGGGCGTTGCGGCGTTCCGCCCCCGGCTGCTGACCCTGAGAGACCCTGGTCACTTGGGTGTGAGTCAAATTGACACCGGCTGGAGCTGCGGTTGCTCTAAACCGGCTAGAGCAGCATTGCTGCTCATGAGCAGGCGTTTGGATGCCTATACTGAGAACCTGCCAAGGAAACAGCGCTGCTGGGTCCTTGCCAGCCCCGACCACGGGCTCTTCTGTAATAAGACAGTAATAGTCACTTTGGGGTCCATTCCATCATCTTACTGTTCGGAAGGATCCCAAAGCAGCTTACCCCCTCTATCCCCAGGGCTAGAAAGGGGAGTGAAGCCCACAGCTCCCTGGGCTCTGCAAGCACTTGCACCTGGCCTTGGTTTGGTGAATCAGAACTCTCTCTCTCTTAGGGCAAGTTTACACAGCAGGGCTAAAGCCAAAATAAACTACACAACTTGTGCTATGTCAGTTGTGTAGCTTAAGTCGAAATAGCTTAGTTTGGCTTTTGGCACTGTCCACACAGCAGGAAGTGCAAGAGCCAGTGCTCTTCCTCTGACTTTCCATACTCCTCATACAATGAGGATTACAGGAGTCAGAATAAGAAGTCATCCAGCTCGACGTTATTTCAACATTATATCAAAATAACTACTTGTAGTGTAGACACAGACTATGTTATTTTGGAAAAACGTTAGTTATTCCGAAATAACACTGCTGTGTAGACATAGCCATAGAGTCCTTCTGTGTTTGGTGCCTCAGCACCCTCCCTTCTCTTTCATTTTTAACTGCTCTATACCTACTGCACCCTTGAAGTCAGCTGGCTCTGTAGAAAGTGGCCATCCAACTGACCAAAGCAATCTGTAAAACATTTATTTCTGCATGTGTCAGATGCAGCCTTTCCTAGCCATAGCTAAAATTTTTGGCCAGGATCTCTATCTTGTGGTGATAGCTACAGCAGCCTTTTCTGCAGCCTTGACAAATGCCATGTTGCTCCACTTTTATCAGCATGGTGCTGTCAAGATCATCCTGCAGGCCCGTTGCTTTGAATACATCAGTTGTGTTCTCTGTAAACTGTGCACTTACATAGGCACTCAGGAAAGATTCAGATACTGCCCAGCTGATTAGCTGAGCGTCTACAGCTATATTTTTTGTTTCTAGTGGTGATGCACGTTCATATGTGTCTTGGTGCACATAACAAATACGTATTCCGCACACGGATAGAAAAAATTAGAGGGAGCATTATACATCACCCTTCTCTTTGCATCTGTCCAATAGCTCCCACTCTTCTATATATCAAACATAACAGCTACGTCTACACTGGCATGATTTTCTGAAAATGCTTTTAACGGAAAAGTTTTCCGTTAAAAGCATTTTCGGAAAAGCATGTCTAGATTGGTAGGATGCTTTTCCACAAAAGTACTTTTTGCGGAAAAGCATCCGTAGCCAATCTAGACGCGCTTTTCCACAAAAAAGCCCCGATCGCCATTTTCGCGATCTGGAATTTTTTGCGGCAAACAGTACTGTGCTGTCTACACTGGCCCTTTTGCACAATAGTCTTTTGGAAAAAGTATCTGACATGAGATCGTCAGTGCTTTTCCAGAAATTCAAGCGGCCAGTGTAGACAGCTGGCAAGTTTTTCCACAAAAGCAGATGATTTTGCGGAAAAACTTGCCAGTCTAGACACAGCCTACCTATTTTACTTCACTTTCAGTGCTCCCCACAACCCATCATCTCTCCTACACTCCTGAGATATCAACTCCTGCTTCTAACTGGGCAATGATGCCATTGTCCATCACCCACCTTTGTTCTTCATCCCATGCCACCAAATTTAACAGAGCTTTATGAATATCCATAAAGCTACCTCTTTATCCTCCTCTCAAATCCCTCCTTCAAACTCTCCTTTTCTGTGATGCCTACAAAAAGCTTGACAGCAGTAAGACTGTTGGCATGTTGAGTCAATTGCCAGTCATACTGATCAATAATGTCTTACTGTTTCCTTGTATATTCTCTGTTTTATTCAGCAGTTGTCTCCTCATATGTTCAGATTATAAGAATTTTTGGGCAGGGTCTGTTTCTGTTCCATGTTTGTACAGTGCCTAGCACATTAATCCCAGTCCACAACTAGGGGTTGAAAGCAGTAGGGATGTAAAAATCTCATTTAATTAGTTAACCTGTAAAACATTCAGTTTAACAAGTTAACTGATTAACTGGGGAGGGCAGAGTGGATTCCATGTAACCAGACAACTCCATGTAACCATGCTGCCAACTCCCAGCCCACATGGGTTGAGAGCTGTCAGCAAGGGGTTGCTTCCAGCCAGGTAACAATTAACCGTTACCTAGTACCCATCACCCATTAAGTGATGCTTACCGGGTAACTGGTAAACCAGTTACCTATTCACATCCATAGTAGGCACCATGATAATATAAATAACTGAGGGGAGGGGAATTGTGGCCAAAGAAACCAGGGTAAATTCTGTGCTTAGTCACACAGCATGCAACTCCATATAACTATTGCAACAGGAGGAAGTGATGAATCAGTCCACTGGATCTTTAAGCTAGGTGGTACAGGTTGAATGGTGTACAGGATGAATCAGTCCACTGGATCTTTAAGCTAGGTGGAACTCTCTGTTCTGGAAACATCCGTCATCAGGAATAAATTTAGTTAGTTGGATGTCCACTTCTCATGGGTGTGGCCAAGTTTCCTGCAGTCTCATAAAGTTTGTTTACAGCTACCAATGCTGACTCTCAGTGTTCTGTGCTATGATTTAGCTCTAATTTACCCCTAAATGTCCTTTAACATCCCAGTAAGCGGTGGAAGTATGGGTAATGCTGTTAGAGAATATTGACCTCTCGTGGTCCAGAAAATTCTCTTGTTCTGACTGGTCAGGGTGCAGGACTAGAGGTTCAACCTATAGTTGTTACTCATCGTTGGGCATGGACAATATATGTCCTACAATCATAGTGTTTCTACTAAGATCTAAAATTCTCCACTCTCTTTTTCCTGCTTTTTAGGTTTCCTTCCACTACTCAAATATTATTAGAGGCAGCAAGTGGGGTGGGAGTGGGGGGAGCAGGAACCAGTCCAGGGAGGAGGCAGTTTAAAAGCTAGTTCCCTTCAACACTATACCTGGGAGGGGGAGAGGAGGCAGTGGGGGACTGGGTGCAAGCTAGGAATCAGCTGATTCCTGGCTCACACCTGATCCTCTGATGCGCCTCTGCCTTTTAAATGTATTAAGAGGCAGCTCTTACTACATTTAAAAGGCAGAGCTGCAGTGGAGTTAGTTCCTGGACCGGCACAAGTGGGGACTGCTTAGTCCTGGCTTACCCCACCCCAGGCAGCTATCTCTGCTGCGGCTCTGCAGTTTAAATGTAGTAGGAGCTGGGTGGTAGAGTTAAACTGCAGAGCTGCAGTGGGGGTACCAAGCACTCCCTCCTTATCGACTAATCGAGTAGTTGATGGAAATTGTGTCGAGTACTCAATTAGCTAATTATCCGCATTTTAACATCCTTAGTCTGTGGGGGTATGTCTACACTACCACCCTAGTTCGAACTAGGGTGGTAATGTAGTCAACCGGAGTTGCAAATGAAGCCCAGGATTTGAATTTCCAGGGCTTCATTTGCATGTTGCCGGGCGCTGCCATTTTTAAATGTCCGCTAGTTCGGACTCCGTGCCCATATGAAATATCTGCAGTTTTCTGAGTCACACAAAGAGAAAACTGACTTTGTAACAAGCTGATGCATTGATTAAAAGCAAAAAACAGCTTCCTCCTCAGCTCTGGCAGTGAGTTGCACAACAGAGTGGGTGAAAGGAGCTCATGCAAATTAATGCTTCGTGTTTTACTTGGTCCTTTCACTAATTTTTTTTCTCCAAGCAAACATGGGCGGTGCACAGCCATTTCTGTAGTTGTAGAGCATTTGTGGATGTACCAACTGTCCCTGATTTATGGATCTCTAGAATATTAAAATAATATGAAACTACTTCCTAGGAACTGTGTGTTTGATAGGATCTCATTAATGCCCCATTAATGAGGCATTCTCTCTCCCCATTTGTAGAGTTTATTTTCTATACTGTACTGTGCTATGTGGAAGATGATTTGCCATCCCCAACAGAAAATACATTTTGGCACCCCACTTGCTTTTAGAGTGGAGCAGAGAGATGCACTTCAGACTAGGGATTTAAAATATAACTATCAGTTACATGCTAACATGCACTGCAGGCTCTGCAGTATATAGCTTATTTAAGCTAAATATATAAATATTTTTAAACAACAAATTATTATATTTAAATAATAAATAGCTTAAATAAGCTATATACTGCAGAGCCTGCAGTGCATGTTAGCATGTAACTGATAGTTATATTTTAAATCCCTAGTCTGAAGTGCATCTCTCTGCTCCACTCTAAAAGCAAGTGGGGTGCCAAAATGTATTTTCTGTTGGGGATGGCAAATCATCTTCCACATAGCACAGTACAGTATAGAAAATAAACTCTACAAATGGGGAGAGAGAATGCCTCATTAATGGGGCATTAATGAGATCCTATCAAACACACAGTTCCTAGGAAGTAGTTTCATATTATTTTAATATTCTAGAGATCCATAAATCAGGGACAGTTGGTACATCCACAAATGCTCTACAACTACAGAAATGGCTGTGCACCGCCCATGTTTGCTTGGAGAAAAAAAATTAGTGAAAGGACCAAGTAAAACACGAAGCATTAATTTGCATGAGCTCCTTTCACCCACTCTGTTGTGCAACTCACTGCCAGAGCTGAGGAGGAAGCTGTTTTTTGCTTTTAATCAATGCATCAGCTTGTTACAAAGTCAGTTTTCTCTTTGTGTGACTCAGAAAACTGCAGATATTTCATATTGTTCTGATCCATTATTACAGGTGGATAACATTGCAACATTTATAGTTAAAGTTACACAGTGGTTTCTATTCCCCTTTTTAAAAATGCAAACAGCTTTC